GTGTCCAGTAAGTGAAGTATTTACAGTGAATACAGTATTGTGTTGACTACTGTACCTATATTTGTTAAGATTTTTCGATAAGATATACAGGATGGAATTTTGTAATGCCACCTTAAGGGGAAGTACTCAATAAAAGTACAGAGTGCCAACTTTGACAGATTTTAGTCGGTTCGATTACCGTGTGACGCAAGCTAATTTTTAAAAATATTTGAATGCATTATTGTTATTTTTCAAAAATAAGGGAATGTTTTCTTTCAGTAAAATTTTCTATATTAAACTGTCACACACCAAGCGGTCACCGGTGACCGCAACCTATTGTTCTATAATGACGGTACTCGACGAGTTAAGTATTAAGAGTACTTCCTCTTCAGGTGGCATTACAAAATGCCACCCTGTATATAATGAAAATGTTAATGGAGTATTTCTATATGTTGTTAAAAGTGTTTACTTTAAACATTGCGTTTTAGAAACGTAATAAAAAAAATCACTAGTTTTTCTTTTCAAAAACATTAAATACTATATTAGATCACACTTAATTTAGTATAAGTAGCAAATCGAACCACAAAGAGCCAAATTGTCGCGTGATTTTAACAAACATGATTAATTACAAACAATACCGGAAGAGATAATAACAAGTACTTATACAAAAAAATAACATAATATTGTAAAACGATAACGTACTCGATTTATGTCTTATTTCTTCGTAATAGTGCCTTTTACATGCCATGTAACAATTTGGTTACCTAATATGAAATTATAGCATATGTGATCAGAAACGGATCTCAACGATGAACTGACCAACGGTTTTATTTTATTTCGATTTCAAAATATTCGAATCCGAATATTTGCTACTCATGTACGCATGTATGGTAATCACACTCGTCCACTGAAACAATAGGTTTTCAATTATAGATTTATGATTATATGTAGATTTATTTATTTTCATTAAAAAGGGCAGGTTACAATAATAAAAGTTTTTATTAGATGACTAGAATAGAATTAGAATTAGATGACTCTAGCGCACACGGGTCACGACACTTAAGCTGAGCTCTGGCCTCTTTGCGCCGCCTTCACTGTTTTTAATATTTTTTTTTGTGTTATTGTACCTACTTAGTGACGGTGTGCAAATAATACATTTTCTTTCTTCTCCTTTCTTTCTAATTAAATGATGCCGACCTCGCGTATTTCAAATTCCTGTAGTAGGAGAATCCTGTATCACAGGCCAGAGGACCTCTAGTTTTGTATCAATATTGTAAACAATTTTACAACTACTTATTTTGTTCCACTCCACATTTTCCATGTATCGTGATAACATGTGTGTATAAAAGTAAAACGATAAAATTATGTACAACACATTGACTCAATTAGGTATATCCTCATTTCATTAATGTCCAATAAGGGTTTGCAATACTATGTTATTACTTATTATTCAAACATAAACAAAAAACTACATACAATGATTTGGGTTCGTTGACCTTTAAATTTAATAACAAACCACAATTCTCATTAATATTACAAAAACAAGGTTTTTCTTACGTTACGGAGCAGACACCTAAGGCAGGTTTTAGTACCAATATAGTAGTGGTAGCATGATTGGGGAATGATTTTGGTGTCTAGGGACAGTTATTTAGATACAGGAGGTCATTCATGCAATGGGCCGATCTATTAAAATCTGCGATTGGTGGTTCATTGGACGAGTGCATCATGAGGAGAGATGGGGGACACTTTGCATTAGTTAGGGTGAGTCTAATGAGTGAAGCCAAATATCCAGCTTGTGACATACTTAGTAACTAATAACTTTATGCCGATCCAGACATAAAATACTTAACATTTTGCTCTAAAATTGCGGTTATAACCATGCGACTGACGCAGCGCATCAATAACATTAGCCATTCAAAATTCGCGAAAAAATAATGCGTACATAACCGATTGACCTTATATCGGTGTTTACATTATTTTGCCTTGTAAAACAGTTTGAAAATTAATACAAATTAATACAATAATAATTGCGTATTTGTATTACCTAATATACCACATCAATAGGCCGTGATACCCCAGACCTGGATTATATGAGCCTCCTTAACATGAATGGAGTTTGCCGTAATTTACCTATGCGCTTGACAGGTACTCGACTGTACGACTGGTGCGATGGTTTGGCAACTGGCTGCCGTACAACGTGCCGCGGGTTCGATTCCCGTACGGAAGAACTCTTTGTGTGATTCAGAGATTGTTGTTCTGGGTTTGGGTGCCATTTGTATGTGAACTTATACATTTGTAAACGCACCGACGATATAGGAAAAAATTCTAATGTAGGGCAACGTTTAAAAAAAAAATTCTACTCCGTCGTCAACACACGATCCACCTTCATACATACTTGGCTCAAACTAAGACACGTTACAGTCTAGTTCGTCATTCTATAAATGTTTCTATTACCACGGCCAATGTCACGTTAGCAATGTGTTGAATAATGAAACGAGTGCTTTCATTCGTCACGAATACATTGACTTAGAAATGGCAATTGCTAGGGATTTTCCTCAGGTCATGATATTTGTATTGGCCGATTTATCGGTTAGTTACTTGCCTAATAATAGTATAATGTGGAATTTAAGTATATATTTTTATATTGCATGTATCTTTTTCATCGTCTTTATCATATCAGCCACAGGACGTTCACTGTGGAACATAGGTCTCCCTTAATTACTTCTAGATAGGCAGGTTAGGGAACCTGCCTATCTAGAAGTAACTAATGAATGTCAGTAGATACAAGGTCGCCCCTGCGACCGACTTATTGTCAACGTAGTAGTATGATAGTCGACAGATCGAAATATAATGTGTCAGTTTTAAATTACAATTTCATTAAAAACTACAATATATTGAAAAGTATACACTCCATAGATAATATATTTATTATCCAATTTAATTTCCTTTCCAGTTTTAAAACATTTCGTAATATTTATCGATATTATTGTTTAGTGGATTGTATATATACATATATATATATTTGAAAATCAAATGTAAATTCTCGAACTGAAATGGAAGCTTAGACGTATGTTGATCCCTGTAAACGTAATAGGGTAGATGCCATATTATTATTTTAATGTCCATTTGGTAGATTATTTTAAAACATAACACACGTATTTTTAATTTTCTTACAGGAACGAATACTTTCGACGGTATATTGATTATAAATGTCGCGTGACGTCACTTCTATGTACATTTAATACGCAGAAATGATGTTTCAGCCACCACTTCTAAACTTTGATTTATTATATCTAAGAATCATTTGAATAAACAACAAAATAAAAAAATACGTGTCTAATCTTTTTTCATTACCTAATTTACGGACTAAATAGATTTTTAATACCCAGTCATCATCCCAATTGTATATACCCATGCACATGCATAAGATATGACTAAAAATTATCTTGACTCGTTTTTTACTCTATACCACGATTCGTTTTATCTACATTTGATTATCAACTCATCCAATTACGGAGACGCTTAACAAAGCTTGGGTTAACAAAGTTCAGTATTTATGTCCCACAATCTTTATTACTTCCTTGCCCGAATACTGAAACGTCACTGAATTTTAAGTCGTATAGTTCTGTTACTAGCACAGAAATATTCCTTTATTATATCTATGGTCAAAACAAATTCTTTATAGAATGGCCGAGTACTACTTAAAATTCATTAGCCTTTCAGTATTTGAGCGTTATTTTTCTTATTCATATTATTGCATGTAATATCTGAAGCATCTATATATGAAGAGCATGTGGTGGTATAAAATCATATTGCTAAATGTTTAAAGAACTCTCAATAAGACATTTTTAATGCGTTACATTATCAAAACTGACGAGAGTCAAACGAAAGATATCGTCTAACCAGTAGATTGTAGTGAATTTGTTATTATACTCTGATATTGTTCGGTATATAAGTAATATGATGTTCAAAAATGAATGATAAGTATCACATTACAGTTTCGTGGTTTTATTATTGGACTGTGAACTAAAAATTTAATCATAATTGCTTAAAGTAAGTATTAGTATAAATGTACTTTTATCACAAACGTTTAATTAGCAAAAAACTTATTATTATTTTGATACATGCTGTCGCAGAGGTTATTATTTTTTGTTGAAAGAACATTATGTAGTTACTCGAAACTGTTTTGAAATATTTATGCTTAGGTAAGTCAAATAGTGTCATCATTTACCCTAGTTTACGAGTACCCATGCAATGTTGACATTACCCATCATTGCTGACTATACATGGTGTAACTAAAATACATTTTATAGATTACAAATTAGTTTTAAAATGATGTAGATAATTTAAAACAGACCGTTATAATTTTACAATTCATTATGTGCAAGTGAAAATATGTTGTTTCTGAAGAATTTCTATTGTTTAAATTATATTAAAAGTATGTTATTGTAATCTTATGTAGGTCAAGCAGTTTTTAAACAATACTTAATGATGAATTAATTTAAACATTTCAAAAAGTAGATTAGGTTACTAGGACTTACCCGCAAATAGGTATACAGACGCAATTAGTAAAAACCGCGAGTTGTGAATAAAAAAAAATAGTCAGTACCCGCAAAATAGTAATTATTTTTTAAAAAACGGTGTACGAAATATTTAGCTCAGTTTTACTGAACAGTAAAAGTTAACTGTTGGCTGAGATGAAAGTAATGATTGCGCTGTCAGTTATTTTTGGCTGACCGAGTAAAAGTTGGTATACAAAGTTAATGACGGTATATGAAAATATAAAGAGAAATTTTATCTTCCTAACTTTATTTTAAAACTTTTCCCAGAAGATACGGCTAAAAATGTCTAATTTTCATAAAAAAATAATAAAAACGAAAGTAAATTCAATATTCACACATCACAATCTAAGTACATACGCACAAAAGCACACTACTTTCTATAAATTTCTAAACCCATGACTCACTCATCCAATTTACCTTTAAAACATAATGTAATAGAACTAAAAATATTATTCTTACATTTTAATTCCACGCACTTTCAATACAAGTCATTTGTTTTGTAAAAATAAATATTTTTGTTAAACTTCGCGATGTTATTTACGTCGCGTATAAATAAATAGGAGGTGCGACGACAGAGCGATCGCGTCGTGCACGCTTCAAACCGCGACTGACTGATACGCAAGACCAAGGCGGAACGACGCATGTGCTATACATACATAGATACAATACAAAGCTATGTATAGTCAATCTCACTCACTCTCTTTGATTGCATTTCGATGGTGTTTTCACTTGCAACGTTTTTTATAATATTTTGCGAAAAATAACAGATGTAAATGCGGTTGATGTAATTTTAGTCTTTTGTTAGTAGCAGTAGTTTGATGCATTAATATATCGTATAAAATATTTGTATTCACACTTTCAACATTTTTATGTATTTATTGTTTTATTTGTCATTTAAATGCCTAATTATTTAAAAAAAAATCTTAGTAAGTTCTTTCGTAAATTAAGTAGGTATGTAACATTACTATGTACCTCTAATGTACATTAGTACGTAAATTGGGCATTATAAATATTTCAAGAATATATTTTTGGATTAACTTCGAGTCAATGTACTATCATTTCGATATGATTGAGGAGTTGATGTTGATGTTCTTTTTTTTGTAATTAGGCTCTATAGACTAACTAAAAAATAAACACTATGACGATAGCGTCATAGTGTGTATGAGCACACAGCTACGTAGCTACAACGCAACAGCTACGTGTCTACTACAAAGGGACTACGCAATAGCTAAGTAACTGCTACGCAGGGACTTCGAACCCGCTACGCGTTTACTACGGAGCAGTTACGTAGTGGATGCTACTACGCAAATTGTTGGAAAATGTGCAATCACGAAGTTAATTGCTAGTTATTGAGAAATCTACACGTCAGAATGAAATTTTTATTTTATGATTGTTTTATCTATAGAATGTATTTTTAGTCTAATTGCAATAACCTAAGGATGATGTTGCTATGCACAAGTGATGCTAAAAATGTTATTTATTTTTTCGAAATAAGTAAATTGTTGTAAAATTATTATCATAAAAATTGTGAAGTACAAAAAGTATGAAAACTAGACAGACGACGTATTCAAAATGTAGTCTTTTATTGTTTTATTCAGTTATTTTTCCATCCATACAAAATAGCGTTACGTACATTTTATTTAATAAATGTCCATAACTACAACTATTTTATGCAATTGCATTAAAACTCGTTAATCTATTGACATGAATGGTAGCCACAGATTCAGATTGCAGAGAATATTATGGTTGTAAAGAAAAAAAATTAAGCCTGATCATGTTAATTTCTTGTTCTTTACTGGGACTTGGCGGCTCGTAAGTAACTAATTTTATGAAAGCAAATAAGTATTAGATTGTCACATATAATTATTAATCTTTTAAAAAAATGTGCAGTACAAAACGAAAGAAACTTTATAAGAAATATTGAGTATATTCGAAGTTTGTCGAGTGGTCGCAAGTGCGATTGCCGGGCAAGGGGTCTCAGGTTCGATTCCCGGTTCAGGCAAAGTATTACTGGTTTTGGTATATGGCAATAGGCTCACTCCTATTACATGGGAATGGGATTCATAACATAAATAGTGAAAAGTAGGTGTTACATTGTACCATTGTACAGTGGCATAATGTACACCTCTGCCTATCCCTTCGGTGATAAAAGGCGCGATTATGTTATGTTATGTTTATTCGAAGATAACTTGTAAAAATTATGCATATATATTTTTTTATGATAGGTAGAACCTATGATGTAATGTTGTTAAAAATATTAACAGATTACTTAGACCAGCATAAAACTTCCGTATTGACACTTATTCATCAGTTAAAACCATGACACAAATAAACAAAAATAAAAATATTTCGAACAATTTTCCATTGTATGATGTTATGTCGATTCTATTCCAAGGATGCAGCTCTCGGGGTTGTGGGTTAAGAGCAATAAGTTACCGCGTTCCCGGTTTGGAGCAGGAGTTGGAATGGAATGGTTTTAAGTCAGGTAAGAGTCTGATACTCTCTCTCGTCTCACCTATGACGTTCCCACTTCAACGATGCAGATCACATACCAGAGTTGTTTACTTGTTCAGACTACATACTCGTAAAGCACAGAATTCGTTAAAGCCTTTTTGCACTGTAAACGTCAAGTCCGTACCAATAGCTAGACATGGTAATGCACAATTTCAGAGTCCATGCTGCTACTGAGAATATCTTTTTTAAAAGCCCCGTATTACTTTCGATTAATCGAATCCGATAAACTTTGCTCGGCAGTCGCACTAGCGATCACTCGGTCAACGAGGCAGTTATAAATATGTATAGTTACGTAATAGAGACGCATTAACAAAAATATATACGTAACTATTGTACATTTACGTAATCCATGTTACTATTGTAGGGTCAGTAAAAACTCCTGAGAGATACACCAAGGTTCCATTCTCAGAGTTTTTGTTGTAATAGGCGTAACATTTATGTCGAGTGCGTGAACTTACTTACCTAATATTTCTACGTTAACAAGAAACCAACATATTCATCCAAACTCGTTGTAATTATTTCATAAGGAAAGAATATCTGGTTGGATATTCAGTACAGACAGTATTGCAGTTAGAATATTATGATTAAAAACAGTTCTATTTTTTTGGCGTCAAGTCCAAAATCCTTCATAAATATATGTATATGTCTATGTATGAGTGACTAATATTGAGATAGTTAAAAGAGAATATTTATTTCTATACCAAAACTAAGTGGTTGTACCAACTAATAGTATAAACTAATCGTTTATTTTTATTAAGAAATATGCCGGATTGATGGATTACTTGATGGTAAGCGATTGGCGCCGCCCATGACCATCTGAAACACCAGAGGCGTTACAAGTGCGTTATTGGCCTTTTGGGAATTAGGAATTTGAGGATTGTTCGAGATTCGGGGATTGAGGAGATCGGGGAAGGGAGTAATTGGGCCTCTGGTAACGTTACTTATACGACGAAACACAATGCAAGTTGTTTCGTGTCGGTTTTCTGCTCGGCCGTGGTATCACTGTGGTTAAGCCGGCCAATTCATGTCGAAGCATGGTTCTCCAACAATTATGCAATTATGTTTGAGAGCGTTCTTCAAAAATCACTTCATCTACTTCGAAGCATTTCACATTGACAGAGTTATTTACAAAGATAATGTTCATTACTTCTGCTATCAATTAATTAAAGTACTAGGTACGATATAAAGTAAACATTATGTAAACACTATCACTAAGAAAAAATGGTAAACTATCACACGTCCGGGACATAGGGCAAATGACCATTTGATAAAACTGTCTATTTACCTATAAATTATTATTTAACAGTGTAAACATTCATTAAAATGGTCACATTCAAGAAAAGATCTAGATCTTTTCTTTGTGTCCTAGACGGACATATATACTGACCAGATTGGCGATATATTATATAAGGGCCAAATTAAAAGTACCTCTAACCAACGAGCATGCATGAAAAGATTGATGACTGTTGATGAAGCGAAAGAAGTATGTAGGAAACGTAGCAATTGGCGTTCCATAGTCTCTATCTACCTGCGAGACAGGCGTGAAGCTGTGGATGTATGTATGTATCTTTTTTAACACTATATTTACATACTAAGACGCGTAGAACGTAGAACGTTTTGCATAGTTACCTACAGCGTATTAAAACCAAATATTTTTGTAAGATTTTAATACTTATTCTTATTGAATAAATTAAAGCGGACAGCTGCTAAATTCGGCCTTGACTTCTAATCCTGGGATACCCTGTGTTTCAGTGTTCTATTCCCGCCGGCTACCAACCCTTATGTAGAAACAGTAAGATGGGCAGATTCTTATATGGAATTGGATTGCAATGAGTAGATGCATCACCGTATGGTAAGCAATCAGCGCCGCCCATCAATACCAATACTAGATTATAAATATATGACGATATTTGACTAGCTACTTCCGCCCGATTTTACCCGCTCTATTCGGCGTCTATTAATCGTAGCGGGATGTTTTTATAGCCTTTAGTCATCCTCGATAAATGGACTATCCAGCACAAAAAAACAATCGACCCAGTACTTCCGAGAATAGCGCGTTTAAACAAAAAAAAAAAAACAGTCTTCAGCTTTATGTCTAAAAAATAAACGAATAACTATAAAAGTAGGTGTAAGATAATATAGTTTGTGTATAATAGTGTATGACAGGAGCAAACACTATTACTAGTTTCTTTCATTCGCTCGCGAACTGTCGAACGCGCCGGTCGGGTACTAACAACTTAATTACTCTGTGCGAACTACCCCCTATCCTCATCAAAAATGACCAAATGTGATATTTGCAACAAGGGAATCACCAGCAGATCTCCGGGCCTGGAATGTCAGTCATGTGCTAAAACAGTCCATGCAAGTAAAGCCTGCTCTGGTCTTACTGCTAAACAGTTGTCTGCCCTTCGCAATGCGGACGGTTTAGACTGGATTTGTGAAGAATGCAATCGAAACTCGCCGAACCGGAAATCATCCTTCTTCGTACCGGAAGAGGAAGACGACGAAGAAGAAGTGGAGAATCCAAGCAACACCGTGGGGAACATAGACAGTGAAAAGTTTCTGAAGGATATCATAGCCGAACTGAAAAAAGTGCTGAAGAAGGAATTGCAACCAATAGAAATATCAGTGGGCTTATGTAGCAAAAAAGTAGAAGAGCTAACTAAAACTGTGGAAGCACAGAACAAACACATACAAGAATTAGAGAGGAAGTACACCCACCTCAAAAATGAAAAAACTCATCTAGAACTTGAAGTAAGCTCATTGAAACAACACGTACGTAGTATAGAGCAGCAAAGGCTCGATAACGTGATTGAAGTAATCGGAGTCCCAAAAACCCAAAATGAAGATCTGGAAGGGATCGGCTCCAAGTTGGCCGAAACCCTCAATGTAGATAAATCACATTTATTAAATATTAAACGTATGGAAAGTCGCAATGAACGTGATGGCAACATTCAACTGGAGATGAAACAAGTGGAATACGCTCAGTCTTGGGTACGTGCGTGCAAAAAAGAAGAGGTACGGCTTGAACAAATTATACCGGCAGCCACTGTAGAAGTCTCAAAATCGAAAATTATCCTACGCCGCGCTCTGACAAAGGCTAACAAAA